GGGGAATTTTTAGTCGGAGTTTATTTCTTCTAGCCTTTGCATAAGAAGAGCATACTCTGCAAGGCAGCAGGGCTTGTGGCAGATGGTATTGGGTTACGTGATACCAGTAGCAAGATTGATCTCGAATATCCTGACCTGACCTGGAGTAGTTAAAAGGAGTTACTTCCCGCAACAGTTCTTTGAGAAAATCAGGCATGACATTTTGGAAGTGCATTAGGAAAAACACTGCATCTAACAAAATACAGGAGTCTAAGGTGAGTGTAGGTTTTGTAGTTGGAGTAAGTAGTTAGTTACTGAGCTCACGCTGCATTAGAGTATAAACAGAACACAAACAAACATAAATAATTTTAGTAAATATTTGTAAACTATTGAATTTGTGTTGGCATTTTCTTATAAAGTTGTAAATTTTTAAGAAATGGAATCAAAATTAGAAGTAAAAAAAAAATGTTATGCAGAATACCAAGCTAATTATGTTTCTCAGAATGCTGATAAAAAGATAGAAATGTTCAGAGTAAGAGATCTAAGATCTAAGAGATATTAAGAAAAATTGAAAGCCCACCCTAATAAAAATGCAGCTTATGCTGCTAAAGCAAAATTAAGAGTTTTAAAAAGTCGGGCTCTAAAAAAAAAATTTTAAATCATCCTCAAAGACTAAGCTCATCTTTTAAAAGTCTTCAACAAAGAGGAAAAGCATTGAAAAAAATTTTAAAAGCACTACCAACTTCAAAGAAGAAACAATCTGAAATTCTTTCTATTCTTCCAAATAGCTCTGTTTGTAAAGATAATTTGGGTCTACCTCCAGCATTATCAAAGCTGTATGGTCTTTCTGAAAGCATTGTTTTATCAGTTGTAAACTTTTATAATGAAGATGAAGTTTCCCAAATATCACCAAACCAAAAAGATGTTACTCAAATTCAATTATCTGGCAGAAAAGCAAACTCTATTCAGATATGTCATTTATATTATATGCTAAAAAAAAGCATTCGAGTTATTCAAGGAAAAACATCAACACATAAAAATTGGACTCAGCAAATTTTGCGAACTTCATCAATGCCATGTGAAATCAGTTACAAAATTTCCGTATGTTTGTGCTTGTAGTTTGCACAATAATATGCAATTTGCCTTAGATGCACTAACAAAATTAATTCAAGCGTCTTCAATCAAAGTTGTATCTGAAATGATAAATAACTTTGTTTGTGAACCGTACACATACGATTGCGTCTATGACAATTGCATTGCATGCAAAAATATGAAACAGTTCAATAAACATTTGCAAACTGTTAATATATCAGGGAATATCTTTTTCCGGATATTTCCGGAATTCCGGATATTTTTCTCAAAATATAGTTTATCCGGATATCCAAAATGTTTTCTCGTACATTCAAGTTTATATAATATTTGTTTTAATGTATATACATTTTTTGTTTTCAGTGATCAGCCATAAAAAAAAATGTCTATAAAAATTCTGAAACCTACCAGCTGAGAGCAAAATTAGGAGAGTAGTAAGGGAAAATATGTTCCGGATTTTTCCGAATATTTTACATAAACTATATTTTCCGGATTTTTAAAAAATGACCTGGATGATCACTGATATATTTGGTTTCGAAGTATCCTGCGACAAATGGAGAAAGCCTGAAACTAAAACATATGCAAACATTGAAAAACTGTAACAGAACTCATCCAACACATATTAGCAATGCCTGATAAGTTCGTTAAACACGCCTTTGTAAAGAAAAACCAATCCACAATTTTTAAAAAGCTGAACGAAGTTTTGATGAATATTATTTTGAAATTGCGGTAATCCAAGTTGACTGGGCTGAAAACGCTAGGTGTTTCTTTTAAAATGAACCGCAAGCAGCTTATTTTGGTCAAAATCAAGTTTCTAACATGACCCTTGTAGTCTGGAACATTGAGTCCACAAGAACAAAGCATTAAATCAAGTGTTATACTGCATAATGTCATAATATTATGAAATCACCACTTGCGACCATTATTTTTTGTTTTATGTGTATCAAATTTGTTATAAAATCTGTCGTGATTGTAAAAGGATTATAATCAGACATTGTGACAAGCTCAAAGAAAAATTATTTTCTACTTTTTAGTTTTATTGAAAAACATTATTTTTAGAAAAATTCATTTTTTTATTGTAGATTATTTATATTATAAAATTTTAATTCAAGTTTGATTTAGAGTAATAAAAAATTATTTTTGAGTAATAGAAAAACTTTTATTAAAAAAAAATCTATATATATATATATTTATATATATATATACACAGCGCTATTGCTGACCACGCAAATGATTTTATTTTTTGACAACTTGACCACAATTGTTTTATAAACAATGTTTATATGTTTTGATAAGTTAAAAATTTCAGAAATGTTCTGAATGTAGAAACGCTAAGCTAAACTTAAACTAGGAAAAAAATTAAAAACAAAACTAAAGAAAAAAAAAACTAACGAAGAAAATATTCCTAACAAAAAAAGAAACGAAAAACAAA